TCTTTGGCCATGTGAATGTTTTACCAAAAAAAAAAGATCGAGAAGGGAGAGGGTTGACATGTCATGGGGTTGTTAACCAATGTCATAAAATAATATGTGTACTGACTGTTTAATGAGAAACTATTTGTTCTGTAAACCTTCACCTAAAGTACAATTAAAAAAAAAAAAAAAGGAAAATGACAGATTACATTGGGCAAATCTGTTGCAAAAGACACCTTTAAAGTTCTAAAAAGCAAAGATATTACTTTGATTACTAAGGTGTGCCTGACCCACACCATGATCTTTTCAGCCGCCTTATAGCATCTCTGTGAGTTGGAGTTGACTTGACAGCAACAGGATCAACAGTGACCACATAAATTAGTCATCACACAAAAATCAAAAACATATGGAAACAGAAATTGAAAACACAATTTTCATTTGCTCCAAACAAAATGAAATAGTTTGGTGTGCACTTAACAAAACATGTGCAGGATCTGTGTGCTTAAAATTATAAAATGCTGATGAAAGAAATAAAAAAGGCCTAAATAAATAGACATAACATGTTCATAAATTGGAAGAGTCAACATAATAAAGACACCAGTTCTTCTCAAATTGATCTATAGGTTTAATGAAATTCATATCAAAATCCCAGCAAGGTTTTTTGAAGACATAGGACAAGCTTATTCTAAAATATACATGGAAAGGCATAGGCCTTAGAATAATTCAAAATCATCTTAAAAAAGAAGAATAAAGTGAAAAGAATCATTCTACCTAATATAAAAGCTTACTGTATAGCTACAGTACTTAAGACTGTGTGGTATTGGCAAAGAAATAGACACATTTATCAATGGAACAGAGAAGCCAGAAATAACCCACTGCCATTGAGTTATTAGGGTTTCTAAGGCTATAAATCTTTATGGAAGCAGACTGCCACATCTTTCTCCCTTAGGGTGGCTGGTATTTTCGAACAGTCGACCTTTTGGTTAGTAGCTGAGCGCTTTAACCACTGTGCCACCAGGGCTCCTAAGCCTAAAATAGGCCCATACAAATATGCATAACTGATTCTTGAAAAAAGATGCAAAAGCAATTTAATGGATGAAGGATAGCCTTTTCAACAAAGAGTGCTTGGGCAATTAGACATACAAAAGCCAAAAAAAAAAAAAAAGAACCTCAACATAAACCTCATACCTGAATCAAAAATTAACTGAAAATGGATCATTGGGCTTAAATGTAAAACTTTCTTAGATAGACGCATAGGGAAAAATTCTCCGTCTGTAGCTAGGCAAAGAGTTCTTAGACTTGACACCAAAAGAAGGATCCGTAAAAGGTGTAAAAACGGCATGGCATGGGAGAGGTGTCTGACCTCCTCCAGCCCCACAAGGCTGACTCCAGTCAGGTGGAGGCCAGACAAACCTCCTTTCTGCCATCTCTACCAATTCTGACAACAACCGTCCCTCCCACAGCATTCTCTACTGGGTTCGATAATTCACTGCAATGGCCACACACAGCTCACAGACTATATCACACTTATGGGGTTTATTAGGGAAGTAACAGTTACAGTTTAGGCTCAAGAACACTCAGAACACAGTTCTTCCATCAGGATAGCCTCTCCCCAGCTGTGCTCGAAAGCGCACCTCTCCTTAGCCCTCAGTCTCTGCCCAAAGGCACTCAGGTTTCTCTCTCCGTGGGCCGGGAAATCCACCGTGCCATCTCCTGCTGCTGGGTCTCTCCTGCTAGTCTCTCCTTCCTTGGTGGTTGTCGGCTCCTTTTCCCTGCTCTGGAATTGGTTCTCTTTTAAGGTAAAACTGACCAATACCCTTGGTAGGCCACAATTACCCTATCACATAGTCACCTGGGTGGGAGTTACAAGCCCATAGCTAGAAAGGCCACAGACAAAAGTAATTAATCCACCACAAAAGGAAAAATTATTGATAAATTAGACTGTCAAAATTAAAAACTTTGCTCTGCCAAAGACCTGAGTCTGTTAAGGAGATGAGAAGACAAGTTACAGACTGGGAGGAAATATTTATAAACCACATATCTAATAAAGGACTAGTATCTAGAATAAGGAAGACCGAAGAAGAATTGTGATGTTGGAGAAGAATATTGAATATACCATGGACTGCCAAGAGAACGAACAAATCTGTCTTGAAAGAAGTACGGCCATAATACATCCTCAGGATGGAGAGACTATGTCTTACATACTTTGGACATGTTATCAGGAGGGATCAATCCCTGGAGAAAGGAGATCATACTTGGTAAAGTAGAGGGTCAGTGAAAAGAGGAGGACCCTTGATGAGATGGATTGACATGATGGCTGCAACGATGGGCTTAAGCATAACGATTGTGAGGGTGGCACAGGACCGGGCAGTATTTCGTTCTGTTGTGGGGTCGCTATGAGTCAGAATCAACTTGATGGCACCTAACAGCAACAACAGTGTCTAGAATGTATAAAAGACTCTCGAAACTCACCAGTAAAAAAAGAAAAAGCAAACAATCCAATTAGAAAATGGGCGAAAGACATTTTTTGATGAGCATACCTTTCACCAAAGAGGATATACAGATGGCAAATAAACACATAAAAAGGTATTCAGCGTCATTAGCCATTAACCAGAAACTAGTTGCTGTCAAGTCAATTCTGACTCATTGTGACCTCATGCGTGTCAGAGTAGAACTCTGCTCCATAGGGTTTTCAAAAATTACAGCTGATTTTTTGGCAGTAGATCTCCAGGCCTTTCTTCTGAGACACCTCCAGGTAGACTTGAACCACCAACCTTTCTGTTAACAGCAAGCAGGTTAACCATTTGTACCACCCAGGCACTCCTCATTGGCCATTAGGGAAATGTGAATTAAAACCACAATGAGATATCACTGTGCATCTGTTAGAATGACTAAAATAAAAAATATTGTTAACAACAAAATGTTGGTGAGGATTTGGAGAAAATGGGTCACTCAGACATTGCTGGTGGGAATGTAAAATGGTATACCTGCTGCAGAAAACAGCTTGGCGGTTTCTGAAAAAAACTAAACCTGCAGTTACCATATGATCCAGCAATTGCACTCCTGGGCATTTATCCTAGAGAAATGATAGTCACACCAAAACCAAAGAATGTTTATAGCAGCTTTATTTGTAATAGCCAAAACCTGGAAATAATCCATATGTCCTTCATACGTGCTGCATCCATACTATGGACTACAACTCGAAAATGAACTATTGACACACACAGCAACTTGGATGAATCGCCAAAGAATTACGCTGAATGAAAAAAGCCAATCCTAAAATGTTGTATACTGTATGATTCAATTTATATTACATTCTTGAAATGGCAAGATTACAGAGACAGAGAACAGATTAGTGTTGGCCAGGGGTTAGGGATGAGGATAGGGGTGTGGGGATAGGAGGGAGGTGGGTGTGTTTATAAGGGCAACACAAGGAAGGAATTGTTCTGTATCTTTACTGTGGTTGCGGATACGTGAAACTTACATGTGATAAAATTGCATGGATCTAAATACCCACACAAAAAAACACAAGTAAAACTGGGGAAATCTGATTAAGCTTGGTAGATTGTATCGATGTCAATATCTAGATTTTGATATTGTACTATGGTTTTTGAAGATGTTATGATTGAGGGAAATTGGGTAAAGGGTACATGGAATCTCTCTGTATTATTTCTTACAGCTGCATGTGAGTCTACAATTATCTCAGAATTATAAGTTTAATTAAATAAAAACAATAAGGAAAAAAATGTAAGGGGAATACACTAGGTGGGAAGAAAGGGAGGAAGGAAAGAAATGTTACAACTATTAGTTCCCAACATTGTGCTACAAACTTTCATTTGTATTAACCTTCTTATTCTTCCCAATAACCCTACAAAGTAATGTTATGCCCCCATTTTTCAGGGCTAATACTCTTTCCATTATGCCTCATTTCTTTTTGTATGAAAGAACTCTGTAGGGGAAAACAACATTGCAAAGAGAAACCTGTATCTTCTTACAATTATTAACATTGCCTCCAGCTCAGGGGAATGTTTTTCTAGTCAAACTTTTCTCCAGGACAGCATTGACCTCCTTGTTCCTGAAGCTGTAGATCAGAGGATTAAGCTGGGCATACACAACCCCCAAAGGAGGAGAGTAATTTAAAAGATAAGATATAAATACAGAAAAATTCTGATATTTTCTCACCTTAACCCAGTAGATCATCCCGTACACCCTGTTTTGGAGACCACTGACCTGTTCTGTAGTTTATTGTTTTTGTGAACTAAAACAGAATTACTTAATGTTTAACATATAAAATGTATATATATATGTTTTTCAGCATTAAAATCCATGACTTGGCAGAATTAAAAGACATGTATGCTATGATCAACCTGGATGATGAAAATAAAGGTATTGTTTTATCTGAAGCATATTGATATTTTATCGTTCCAATTTCAGAAAGTAGTTGTGATTACTGTTTGATTTACATTAACTGTAAGAGGAATAAAATTAATATCCTTCACTAGAGTTACCTATGATAACCTCCTGTTTTAATAATTATGCTGAGTCATACTATTTGACAAGAATGATGTAAGTCCACTTTGATCCAGAAATTTGTAGTGAATTTTATCCTGATTTCCATTATAAAATGTAAATTCTTATGTACTTTCCCTTGGAGCCAGTTTTTAATTTGTCAGTGCTCATATCCATATGGTAATCCCTAATGACTTTACTAGTATAAATACTGTTAACACTATCTTTTAAAGAAAACATTTGAAGATTTTTATACCTCTGGTAGCTTAAATGAAAATATTTGCTTGCTTACTTGCCTGCAACAGTGTATTTGTTTTTGAATAATCATTTATTTTGTCAATTATTTCAGGATTGGGCACCTTGTCCTGGACAGATGATGGTCAGTTGCTGGCACTGTCTACCCAAAGGGGCTCACTCCATGTTTTCCTGACCAAGCTTCCCATCCTCGGGAATGCCTGCAGCACAAGGATTGCCTATCTCACCTCCCTCCTTGAAGTCACTGTAGCCAACCATGTTGAAGGAGTATGGAAATTATGTTATTTTTATTTCATTTATGAATAGAATTGAAACAGTTGTAGCAGCTGATTTACTATTGTTACTTTTCTTTATTATAGGAGCCACCAATCACAGTTTCTGTTGATGTGGAACCAAACTTTGTAGCGGTAGGTCTTTACCATCTGGCTGTGGGAATGAATAACAGAGCTTGGTTTTATGTCCTTGGAGAGAATGGTAAGTCTAAATCCAGCTGTATTCTTATCTAGCATACAATTTCTGTTACTATTTGGGAAGCAATGGAACTTCTTTTTAAGACCAGGAAATCTGAATTATTATTGAAGGAAGTTGTTCTTTTGCTGTTTTTGGTTTGAACATCATTTCAGTTAAATGGTTTTGTGAAGCTTCTAAATAATTTGTGTAATTTTTGAAAACGTTGTGTTCTTCATCTTTGTAGTGAAGACAGCATAGTTTAGTGGACAGAGTATGAGTTTTAGAATTAGGGAGGCCAGGGTTCAAACTAGGGGTCCTGGTGGTGCAGAGGTTAAGAGCTTGGCTTAAAAGCTCAGCTGCTAGCTAAAAAGTTGACGGTTCAAATCCACCAGCCACTTCTTGGAAACCCTATGGGGCAGTTCTACTCTGTCCTATAGTGTCACTAGGAGTTGGAATTGACTCAATGAAATTGGGTTTTTTTTGGTTCAAACTAAGGAGCCCTGGTTGCACAGTGGTTGAGTGCTTGACTACTAACTGTAAGGTCAGAGGTTTGAATCTACCAACTACTCATGGGAGAAAGGTATATCAATCTGCTTCCATAAAGATTTACAGCCTCGGAAGCCCTTTGGGGCAGTTCTACTCTGAGTCGGAATTGACACGATGGCAATCGTTTGATTATGGGTTTGGGTTCAAACTCGCTCTCTACCTGTTTTAGATAAGTGATTGTCGACAGATTACTTTCTCTCTGAGCCTTGGTTTTCTCATTTGGAAAATGAGGATACTTCCACTTTTAAGGGATCATGAGGAGATTAAATGTAGTAAAATGTGATCTCACTTTGCACAATGACTGTGTTAAGTACTCCTAAGTCTGGTTTTTTAAAAAAAAAAAATCTGTTGCCTTCAAGTTGATTCCAACACATAGCAACCCTATAGGATAGAGTGCAGCTGTCACATAGGGTTTCCAAGAAGTGGCTGGTGGATTCAAACTGCTGACCTTTTGGTTAGAAGGCAAGCTCTTAACCACTGCACCACCAGGGCTCCCCTGAGTCTGGTAGGTACTTAGTAAACTTTAGTTTCCTCTCCCTTTTATTCTTTGAATAATGGCTATTAGGATGTGAAGAGTACCTTGCTCTTTTCATCTCCTCTCTCCCGCTCTCTGTTCCCCATTAGAGGTCAAATGTCTGTCAGGAATAGAGCAAGCCTGAGAATTATTTTGCTACTTAGAGAACACTATTAAGCTTCTTGGAAACCTGTTGGCGCAGTGGTTAAGAGCTACGGCTGCTAACCAAAACGCTGGGTATTCGAATCCACAAGGCGCTCCTTGGAAACTCTACGGGGCAGTTCCACTCTGTCCTATAGGGTCGCTATGAGTTGGAATTGACTTGATGGCAGTGGGTTCGGTTTGGTTTTCGTTTATTAAGCTTCTTGTCATGAAGGTTTAATTCTTGTTTTTTTTTTTGGTATGTGATTTTCTTAACTGCTTTATAAACCATTATGGAATTCCTGAAGGCAAATTTGTATGGCAACTAAGATTTTTCTTTAGAATGGCTAAAATAAAAATTAAAAGGTCAGAATATCCTTGCGAAGGCACACGTTTAAAAAGTATTTGCAAATATTTGTATAAGACAGTTTTATATACATTCTAATATGTTGGTTTTTAAAAATTACTACAGTTGTGAAAAAATTGAAAGATGTGGAATATTTGGGAACAGTTGCCAGTATTTGCCTTCATTCTGACTATGCTGCTGCACTTTTTGAGGGCAAGGTCCAGTTACATTTGGTAAGTATAATTTTATGAGTTGGAATCAACTCAACGGCATTGGTGTTTTTTTTTTTTTTTTTTTTTTGGGTGTGTTTCTTTGGGGGCCTTTCTTGTTTTTGTTTTTTGTTTTTTTTTAATTTTTTTTGCTGGGTGGCTGGGTGGTGCACACGATTAAGTGCTTGACTACAAGCTGAAAGGTTGGTGGTTTGAGCCCACCCAGAGGGGCCTTGGAAGACATTCCTGGTGATCTGCTTCCAAAATATCACAGCCTGGAAAACCCTATGGGGCAGTTCTAGTCTGTACACATGGGCTCGCTGTGAGCTGGCATCAGTGCTACAGCAACTAACAACAACAGCAGTAAGGACATCCTAAGTTAAATGATGATGACCAACAGCCTACTGTCTGATTACTAAGAACTTTGGTCAGGAGCCAACTATGTACAGACTAGAAAGCCAAATGTGGTTAAGGATTAACAAAACTATTCCCCTACCGTATAAGAATCAGATGTTCAATTAACTTCTAGCTCTCTTCCCCAAGAAAACCTGATAAAGTGTCAATTGTGCTACTCACAACATTGCTTACGGTAAACATGACACGGATAAGAAAATTACATCTAGAAGGAACTATAAATGAACTATAATTAAGTGATGGGGTCGCCATACTTTTGCGCTTCCCTGAATGTGTTGACTCTTGTATCTGGGGATATCACCTGTGAGGATCCTAGAAACTATGCCTATTGAATTGTTCAGGAGATAATGACTCTTGTGAAGCATGGGACTTCTAAACCAGGGCATCTCCCACGTTCATTTCTCAGTTCTTTGCACCTGGAAAGCCAAAAAGATTAGCTACTAGACAGGTGCGTAGCCTACTGCGAAGACTATTCCCACTAAAGAGAAACGCCTGATGCTGCTTTGCTGGTGAGCTGTGGTTGCTGTCTGATATCCTGAGTAAACTGCCTTATGGTATCCTTGTGGGGCTGAATGTTTAGTTGAACTTAAGAAAAAGACATTCTCCCCCCACCTCACCATCCCAGGTTGGTATTGCAAACCAGGTTTACTCAAATAAGAGTAAAATTACTTTAAATCTCTGAATCAATATTATTCCTTATGTTTTAGATAGAAAGTGAAATTTTGGATGCCCAAGAAGAACGTGAGGCCCGACTTTTCCCTGCAGTGGATGATAAGTGTCGTATTTTGTGTCATGCCTTAACTGGTGATTTCCTCATCTATGGTACAGATGTATGTATTATCTTCTTTAATATAGAGTGTAGGGAATTTCTAAATTCTGCTTTGTAATCTTGGTCGTATTCCTTTTCCTACTAATTTTTTTTTTTCCCTGTATTGAACCCAATCCAAGAATGAAGTCCTCTGTGATTAATTTTATATCTATGTAGAGCTCATAGGTGGGATAATTGCTTATATCAAGTGTTTTGTGATTTTAAGCAATTTTGATGGCATAGTGAGAAGAGCAGACTTTGGAGTCTGGCAAATCTGGGCTCAAATGCCAGTTCTATTGTTTACTAGCTGTTACTTAACCCCTCTAAGCCTTACATTCCTTATCTCTAGGCGCTTTAAGGATTTAATTCAATGGTGTACATAAGACATCTCATTCACCTTTAGATCCCCAGTGTCTACATTTAGTAGGCATTCAATAAATATTGGAGCCCTGGTGGTGCACAATTCAATAAATATTAAATTTAATTGAATATTGAGAATCCTACTTCAGTCTGTTGGTCCTTTAAAGCATCAGTACCCTATACCTCTAAATACTACTTTAGGCACATGGACATAAAAGACGGTAATAGCATCTTATGTCTGTAAAGGTTTTCAAACATTTTTCAAAGCGTTTCATATCTCATTTAGTCTCTAAAACAATTCAGTAACATAGATAGGCATTGTTTTGCACGTTAGAAAAATAGTTATTCACGGTTTCAAGTTTCTATTTTCTCACACTAAATTATTTTTAAAATATGCATGTTTTCTAGACTTATTGCTATGTAAGAGACCCTTTTACATTGAAATTTGACTTAAAATAATCACTCTTTGTGATAATATACATCAGTAGGGTAGGTCTCATGTATCAGATAAATTAGTAAATGATGTGGTAAATGACAGTACACACAATACATTCGTATGACACATACCAGTTTATAAAGCTCTGACCTCCCTTACTTTCTCTCGTTTGCTCTGTAAGATAAGCAGGGGAGGTATCACACTGTCCATTTTAGAAATAAGGACACTAAAGTTTGAAAGGATAGTGAATTTGTAGCAAGCTGGTGAATTTGTAGTGGAATTTGAACAAAATTTCCTGATGCTAAGTCCACTCTTTTCGTTATGCCACATGGCATTCTCATAAGGGCTCAAAGTATAGTAGTCTACCAATAAAGCCTCATTTATCTCAATCTCATTCTTAAGTGATTCTGACAGTGTGTTTTTTAATAGCTTTATTAAAGTGTAATTGATTAAACTGTACTGTTTAAAGTATACAATTTGATAACTTTTGGCATATGATATACTCGTGAAACACCATTACCTCAGTCAAGATAGTGAACGTAGCCATCACCTCCAAAAGTTTTCTCATGCCCTTTTATGATTCTTCCCATCCATCTCTTCCCACCCATTGCTTTCTCAGTCACTATAAATGAGTTTGAATTTTCTTGAGTTTTATATAAATGGAACCTTACAATGTGTACTCCTTTTTGTCTGGCTTTTTTCACTCAGCATAATTCTCTGTGGAGATCATCCAAGTTGTTGCGTGTATCAGTAGTTCATTTCTTTTTTATTGCTGAGTAATATTCCATGATATGGATGTACCACAGTTTGTTTAACCGTTTCACCCATTGAAGGACATCTGGATTGCTTCCAATTTGGGGTTATTACAAATAAAGCTGCTATAAACATTCATAGATTGGTTTTTGTGTGAAAATAAGCCTTTATTTTCTGAGATAAATACACCTTCACACCCACAGTGAGGGCTAAAATAAAAGAAGACAGATAATAACAAGTATTGGCGAGCATGTGGAGAAATTGGAACCCTCATACACTCCTGGTAGGAATGTAAAATGGTGCAGCCACTTGGGCAAACAGTTGGGTAGTTCCTCAAAAGGAACTAAGTATAGGCTACCATATGACCCAGTAATTCCACTCCTGGGAATATACCCAAGAGATTGAAAACATATGTCCGCACAAAAACTTGTGCACCCACGTTCATAGCAATGTTATTCATAAAAACCAAAAAGTAGAAGTAATCCAACTGTCCGTCAATCAATGAATGGGTAAATAAAATGTGGTGTACCCATTCAGTGGAATTATTTGACAATAAAAAGAAGTACTGATACATGCTAAAACTTGAAAACATTATGCTAAGTGAAATAAGGCAGTCACCAAAAGCCAGATGCTGTATGATTCCACTTACATGAAATGTCTAGAATAAGCAAATCTATAGAGAAAAGAAAGTAGGTTAGCCTAGGGCTAGGTGCTATAGGGAAAATATGGAGTAACTGCTAAATTAGTTTCTTTTTGGGTGATGAAAATGTTTTAAAATTGATTAGTGATGTTTCACAACTCTGATTATACTGTATTTTTACACAAATAACACTCGCCTTCTACGTTTGTTTGCTAACCGCTCCCTCTCCCCCCGCAAGGTATTTTTGTAAGCGTGCCATGCTAATTTTTTTTTACAGCATGATGTCAGTATTTTCTTGACAACCTTTTATATTTCCATGACCAAATATTTTTTAGACTGGTGTCATTCAGTATTTCTACATTGAAGATTGGCAGTTCGTTAATGATTATCGACATCCTGTCAGTGTGAAAAAGATTTTTCCTGATCCAAATGGAACCAGATTGGTTTTCATTGATGAAAAAAGTGATGGATTTGTCTATTGTCCAGTAAGTTTAGAAAATTTTTTAAAAATGTTTTTTTTAATACAATATAAGAAGAAAAGTGTTTTCAAAGTAAATATCATATATAAAGTTGTTTTAAACAGTGGAAGGGATTTTAGTACTTTGTTGTCATGTTTGTCATTGAATTAGTCACAATAGCTCCATTTTCAAGACTACTTATATAAAGAAAATTTTTTCCATTACTTTATAATTCTTTTTCATTCCCAAAGAGTTTTTTTAAAAAAATGGAAAAGATAGCTATTATATGTTATTTCACTTTTAGCCTTATCATTGACTGCATGATATTACAATATATCTTCATGTATATGACTTTTCTCTCCAGATGTGCAGTAAGCCCCACAGGGCAAGAATTATACCCTGTTCTTTCTACCCACCTCACTTGGTTTTCCTCTTGTCTTCAAAATCCTGAATGCAAAGATAAGGTATTAGATGATTAAAAATGGACAGACCCAATTTTAAATTCAGTTACTTCTATTTTAAAACATTCTTTAACTTTTTTGAAGGAGCCCTGGTGGCGCAGTAGTTAAGCATCAGCTGCTAACCAAAAGGTTGGCAGTTCGAACCCACCAGCCACTGCATGGGAGAACATTGTGGCAGTCTGCTTCCATAAAAATTTCAGCCTTGGAAACCCTATGGGGCAGTTCTGCTCTGTCCTATATGGTCACTGTGAGTTGGAACCGAGTACTAATTAGAGCTGCATTGCTTCCTGCTGTGTAGGTTCACCGCAGGTAGAAACTGCTGTTTAGGTGGGCTATGCAAGAGGGTAGGAGGGTAAATCAAGTATCTGGCAGGAGTTAAAGTCAAAACTGGGGTAAAACCACAGGTGGCACAGTGCTTAAGAGATCGGCTGCTAACCTAAAGGTTGGCAGTTCAAATCTATCACGTGCTCCTTGGTAGCCCTATGGGGCGGTTTTACTCTGTCCTGTAGGGTCACTATGAGTTGGAATCGACTTGACGGCAGTGGGTTTGGTTTGTTTTTTTGGGGGGTGGGGTGGGTAAAACTGCTAGGGGAAGGGTAAAGAGTAAGACCAGCCATGAACAAGTTGTTACCATTTCACTTTTTCCTTTTGCACTTCTCCTTTCCTTAATATTTTCTGTAGAAGAGGCTAGTATGACTTCCTTCATGGAGTTAGAATTAGGACCTAGTGAGTTGATTTTTCCAAACATGTTATCAGGCACAGAGTAGCTATTTAGCAGATGTTAAAAGTTCTGCCCTCTTTACCTACTCTGCCCTACTCTTAAGCCCCCTCAAGTTCCAGAGTTACTTCACTTCTTCATGCTCATCCCCACTGCCTTTTCCCAACTCTAACCTGCAACTCAGTAAAGTGTTAAGAAGAAAAAACCTGATTAAAAAAAAAAAAAAATGCACCCAAAAAAATGACTGTTGATAGTACAAGCTGTCCTCATTCAAAGTGAGGATGAGTATTTGCTTTTACTGAAATTAAGATCTCATTGATAGGTTAGGATTTTAGGTGGTATATACAAGATATAAGGAGCCCTGTTGGCACAGTAGTTAAACACTTGACTGCTAACTGAAAGGTCAGTGGTTCGAACCCACCAGCCGCCCCATAGGAGAAAGTTGTGGCAGTCTGCTTCTGTAAAGATCATGGCCTTGAAAACCCTATGGGGCAGTTCTGCTCTGTCCTACAGAATTGCCACGAGTCAGAATCAACTGACAGTAACAGGTTTGGTTTTTTTTTGGTAGGCAAGATACATATCAAAGGCAACTGTGGTGCCTAAAACCAAAAAAAAACCCGTTGCCATCCAGTTAATTCCGATTCATAGCGACTCTATAGGGTTTCCAAGGAGCTGTTGGTAGATTCGAACTGTCTACCTTTTGGTTAGCCAAGCTCTTGACCACTGCACCACTGTGGTGCCTACTGGAGTAAATTCCTTCTTTCAGTTATAACCGGTCTTTTCTACATGTAAGGCCAACTTGGCCGGGAAAGGAGAGGAGGGTTTGTACCGAGGCCTTCCTCACAGCCTAGCACAGAGGAAGAGGCTGCTCTGAGCCCCTCTGTGACCAGAGTGCTGTGCATTTTCTTTGATTTTTAACACCCTCCCGTCATAGTGTGCTACTGTTGCAACTTCATTTTCCACTCAGCTTCAAAAAGTTTGAGAGAAATGTTGTTCCTGTGATTCACATGTATGGAAATATGTAACTCTTCAAAACACTATTCTTTAAAATTCTTACATTTACTAGTCATTCCCCTTCGTATGTACGTGGTAGGAAAAGTGAATCATTTTGTAGATTGGAATTGGGAAAGATGACTTCTTTTCTTGAATATGCCCTAATAAAATAATCTCGTACTCCATCACTCCCTATATGCCCATAAAGGATGGCTTGGTATATATTATAGAATGTTCACAAACATGTGGCCCTCTGGAAGCAGTATAGTAGCTAAGTACATGGATTTTAAAGACAGACAGATGGACAACAAAAACAACAATCTGTTGCCGTTGAGTTGATTCCGACTCATAGCAACCCTATAGGACAGAGTAGAACTGCCCCATAGGGCTTCCAAGGAGCGGCTGGTGGGTTCCAACTGCCAACCTTTTGGTTAGCAGCCGAGCTCTTAACCACTGAGCCACCAGGGCTCCAGAGGTTTATTAAGGATAGTAACAGTAACAACTAAGATTTTTGTGCTGAGTATTCTTTATATATCTTAGTGATCTCTCTTAATCCCTACAGCAGCCCCAGGGATAAGTATGAATGTTATTTCCATTTTACAGGCGAAGAAACTAAGGCATAGAGAAGAAAAGTAACTTGTCCAAGGTCACACAGCCAGCAAGTGGCATGAATAGTATGAGCCTAGGGTGTCTTCCTCCAAAGCTGTCAGTTTGATTGAACTCCCAGTTTCCTCATCTATAGGATGGAGATTCTTCTAATACCTGTCTTGTAGAGTTGTTGTATGAAAATCAAATGAGATAATGCATGTAAAGCTTTTAGTGCGGTATCTGCCGCATTACTCTTTTTTTTGTTCTTTTCATTCTGCGGCCAGTCCAGTAGCTTTGGTGTGCTCACCTGTAGGAACTGAGAGTATTAGAGTACAGTGGTTAGAAGCACAGGCTCTGGAGCCAGACTGCCTGGGTTCAAATTCTACTTATTAGCTGTGTGACTTTGGACAAATTTCTCTGTGCCTTAGTTTCCTCATATGTAAAGTGAGGATTGTAATAATAGTATCTGTCTTGTAGAGTGTGGGGTTAGAATTAAATCACTAGGCTGCTAACCAAAAAGTTGGCAGTTCAAACCCACTCAGTGGCTCCACTGGAGAAAGACCTGGAGATCTGCTTCTGTAAAATTACAGCCAAGAAAATCCAATGGGGCAGTTCTACTCTGTCACATGGGGTTGCTATGAGTCAAATTTGACTTGATGACACCTAATAACAACAACAATAACATACAGGTAAAAGTAAGTAGTACCATACCTGGTAAGCAGCACTGTCCAATAGAAATATAACATATGTAACTTTAAATTTTTGACTAGTCCCATTTTAAAAAGAGGTAAAAAGAAACTGGTAAAATTAATTTTAATAATATGTTTTATTTAATTCAGTATTATTTCAACATGTAATCAATATTAAAATATTGTTAACGAGATTGTTATATTGTCTTTTTCATACTAAGTCCTTGAAATCTGGTGTGTAGTTTACACTTAGACATATCTCAGTTTGGACTAGGCACATTGCAGTACTCAACAGCAGTGTGGCTTCTTCTTCTTGTTAGGTGCCGTCGAGTCAGTTCAAGTTGGACAGCACAGCGCTATAACTTTATTATTTTCAGGAATTTTATATTTCATTCTTATTTTAAAAGGAAGATAGAGTAAGGAGGCGGCAGGTATTTTCGGGCTATCCATTCAGGATATGCAATAAGCCTAGCTATTTTCCTGAATTCACAGGAATAACATGGATTCATTTTTTTAAGATAGCTTGTATTGCTGTAACAGTACATTTTATGTTTATTGGAATGCATTGTAGAGAAGTCTTTGAAATAAAATATACCTAGTGGATTTATTTAAATTCAAATTAAATCATATATAAATTAATTTGCTCTCCCCTAATCTGAGCATTTTTATACTCCATATTTTTGAAATTGGAAACCCTGGTGGCGTAGTGGTGAAAAGCTACAGCTGCTAATCAAAAGGTCAGCAGTTCGAATTCACCAGGCGCTCTTTGGAAACTCTATGGGGCAGTTCTACTCTGTCCTGTAGGGTCACTATGAGTCAGAATCGACTTGATGGCAACAGGTTTGGTTTTTTTTTATTATAGAAATTTTTCTAGACATGAGTGTGTTTATAATTTAAATTTCTATTGTCTTGAACATCTTCATCTTTTTTTCCTTAACCTGATGCTTTGTGTCTAGACTTGTAGTTTTCCCTACAAATTCGCCGAATATTAGATAAAACCCTTGATATGCCATATAACTACAGTGTTTTCAAAAAGCCAGACCTAGGATAGGAATAGGAAAAGGAACTTTCCTTCCTACTCTGGTTGGAGTGTTGCTGGGTTGAATATGGGTTGGTAAGCTATGCCAACTAAGGCTGCAAACAGGCTTCTACCAAAGCAAGTGACAATGATTTAAGGCTTGGGACAAATCTTTAAATCCTATTTTGTAGGTTAATGATGCTACCTATGAGATTCCAGATTTTTCACCAACAATTAAAGGTGTTCTTTGGGAAAACTGGCCAATGGATAAAGGTGTATTTATTGCTTATGATGATGATAAGGTGTACACTTATGTCTTTCACAAGGACACTATACAAGGTACTTAATCACTTTTTTGTACTTCTGTTGGTAAATGAATTTCTGTTGCAGTGAAATCAAAACATTCCTTTCTGATGTTTGTGCTGAGTACTAACTTTCAGCGTTAAGATGTGTGTTTTATAATATAGGATCCAAGGTCATTTTGGCTGGTGGCACCAAAGTTCCCTTCTCTCATAAACCTTTGTTGCTATATAATGGAGAGTTGACCTGCCAGACACAAAGTGGAAAAATAAACAACATCTACCTCAGCACCCACAGCTTCCTCGACAATTTAAAAGATGTGGGGCCTGATGAACTGAGACAAATGCTGACACAGACTTTAATGTTGAAAAGGTGGGGTTTAAAGCAACTCTCTTGGAGCTTCTCATTTACTTTTGTGGTTTTAAATGTCAAGTCCTATTAAACTCGATGGAGATAGTAGTACTTACCTTGTTTATTTTACAGGATTATCCTGAAGCTCAGATAAGATAATGGATATGAACATGCATATAAATTCTAAAGGAAGTACTGTTGTTAGGTGTTGTTGGTGCCTTATTACAAGAAAAGTCGTTCAGAATCAAAAGGTTTCTAAGAACCCAGATACCTCAATTATTGTGAAAGTCTCATAAACTTAATTGTTTTAACAACATCGTAATTTCATCATAATGAAGTTTAAGCTTGCCTTGCTTGAGAATTCCTTTTCCTACTTTTTTCTCTTCACAGTGGTTAAGCACTACAGCTGCTAACCAAGAGGTGGGCAATTCAAATCCACCAGCCACTCCTTGTAAACCCTGTGGAGTAGTTCTGCTCTGTCCTACAGGGTCGCTATGAGTCAGAATCGACTCGACAGCAATGGATTTTTTTTGGTTTTTACCATGAGCCTCTCAAGCAAGCCCTGTCTAAAACTGAACTCACCATCTTCCCCAGACCCCTCTTCTCCTGTGTCCTAACCACATGTGTACATGCTCTATCTCACTCTCACACACACACACACACACACACACACACACCCCCACACACACACCCACACACACACCCACCCCAGATTCTTTTCTCCTGTTTTCCCCTGTCTTAGCACAGACCCTCACCGTCTCTCACTTGGAATAATGTAACCACCTCCTAACTGCTCTTTCTTCTCACGGCCTTATGACGATCTATTCTATTCTCCACACGCTTCTGAAAGTTTGAATCTGATCCTCTCATCTCCCTGTTGAAGATCTTTCAGTGACTTTAGGAAGGCTTCAAAGTCCTCAAGGACCTTAGCATGACATACTAGGCATACCTGATGATTTAATGCCAGCCTCAACTGTTCCCATCCGTGACTCCCTCTGTTCCACTGACTGCTTGAGTTACATATTTTTTCATGATTGTTTGCCTTGGCACATACTTCCTCTTCCTGGAATGCCTTTCCCCTATCTCTGTATATAGTAACTCCTCATTCACTACCATTCAGGGGAGGCCTCCGCTCTTCCAGGAAGCCTTCCCTGACTCTACCACCACTGGCAGTCTGGGTTGGGGGCCTTACTGATGTGTTGCTTCAGGGCCAGAATACAGTATTCCTGGTACCTTTTACAGCTGTGTGACTTGGGCTAGTCTTTTAAGGTCTCAGCCTTAGTTTCTTCCCTTGCAAAGGAGGAATAATAATAATACTTAGTAGATAAGGTTGTTAGGGTAATTCCATGAGAGAATTCATGCAAAGCACTTAAAACAGAGATTTGTGAATTGCAAGTACTCAGTTACCTCTGTGATGCTGTATTAGAGTCATCTGTTTACTGACTGTTTCTTCTACCTTCCCCCACCATGACTTCCTTAAAGACAGTGACTGTATGTTTTATCTTTGTGTCTTGGTCCCAAGCACAGTTCCCGGCACACAGTCGGTACTCAGTAAGTGTGTGTTGCATGGATAAATGGATAGGTCAGTGAATGGATGGATGGGTATAATATATTTCCTGAAGTAGTGGTTCCACACAAAAGTTAATTGGCCTTTATGTTCATGTTTTAAACCAGAAGTCGGCAAACTTTTTCTGTACTAGGCCAGATGGTAAATATTTCAGGCTTTGTGGGCCGTATGGTCTCTATTACAGCTGTTGCACACTCTGCTGTTGCAGTGTGAAAGCAGCCATAGACAATACATAAATGAATATGTATAACTGTGTTGCACTCCCACTTTATTTACAAAACCAGGCAGCTGACTGGATTTGGCCCACAGGCCCTAGTTTGCTAACCCCTGTTTTACAGTTCTAAAGTTAATAAGAATAGAGTACCAAAAGGTTAGCAGTTCAGACCTACCCAGAGGCACCTTGGAAGTGAGGCCTGGTGAACTCCTTCTGAAAGGTCACAGCCTTGAAAGCCCTATAGAGTGCAGTTCTCCTCTGCACATGGAGTCACCATGAGTCAGAATCTATTAAGCAGCAACTAACAACAGCTAATTTAATTGACTGAGATTAAATTGATGTGGGAACAAAATTGTCATGTGAGAACAAAAATAATCTTCATCTATGTGTGAAATAAAGCAAAAATAAATAATTGAATTAGTCATTAATTCTGTTCTCTCATAAAATCATGGAATTTCTGTGAGAGGGACTGTAGGGAGTAGATTCAGGTTAATAAAGGAAATTCAAGAAAAAACATTTATCTATACAAATAAAAAAAGTTTATTTTTTCACAACATGCAAATGAAAATTACTGATTAAGAAATGTTTTGCAAATTTATCTAGAGCATGATATTAAATTATATATAATCTGAAATTTGCCCAGTGGGTGGCAAGCAGAGCTCTCTGATTGAGTTTATGTACTTGATAGGTTTTCCGATGCTTGGGAAATGTGCAAGATTCTGAACGATAATGCTGCCTGGAATGAGCTAGCCAGAGCTTGTCTGCATCACATGGAAGTGGAGTTTGCAATCCGTGTTTATCGGACAATTGGAAATGTTGGCATAGTGATGTCCTTGGAACAAATAAAGGTAACAGCATTTTATGAGAATTACCAGATAAGATTTAAATGCTATTTATTCCAAAATTTTAAATTTCTGTGGTTAATCTTACCTAACTCATACACAAGTGAATTGATAGAACATTACCACTTCCTAATGAGTGAAGTCTTTAAAAAACTTAAACCCTTGTATTTCTTTTCATGAAAAATGCTTTTATTTTTAGGGCATAGAGGACCACAACCTTCTGGCAGGACATCTTGCCATGTTTACTAATGATTTCAACCTGGCTCAGGACCTGTACCTGGCATCCAGCTGTCCTATTGCTGCCCTGGAGGTATGGCAGCAAATAAAGACAGGAAGAAGAGCATGCAAAAGGGATCACACCTTTTGTATAGTTAAAATTTCTCAGCCCCAGACACCACATGCCTCTCCACCTACTGCCTGCACTCCCCCGAATTTAGACATTTCAGCTTTAAGATCCCCTGAATACTCATTAACTTCAAAAATGTTGTTTTCATTCTGCATTCTGTGGAGGCATAGAAGTCACGATATTGTAATATTACCAAATTAATTAAAATCTAAATGTGTCCAAAGAGAATAGATTTTGTAACTTACAAAAATGTGTAAAAATAGCCAACATTTATTGAGTGCTTATGTGTGCCAGGCACTGTCCTAAGCATTTAACATATATTAAGTCATTTAACCCTCACAACAATCCTATGAGAAAGTTCTATTTTCCAGATGGGAAAACTGAGGCACATTATTTACCTTGTACTTATTATATGAAATTCTCTTGTGTTTTAAGAAGTGAGCTAAGGACCCAGTGCACCATGACTAGTTTTCCCAGAGGTGAGTGTTGCTGCAGGGGGACCAGGATAGAGTGAAGGATTTAGTTCAAGGGCAGGGAAGAAAGGAGATATGGCAATATATAATAGTGATTAAGAATGTGGACTTTAAAGTTGGACACAGCTGTGTTCAAATCCCAGCTCTGTGTAACCTTGGACAAGTTATTTAATCCTTCTGAGCCCTAGACCAGCTTCTTTAAAGTGAGGATAACAATATCTACCCCACAAGGTTGTTACAGAGATTTAAAAATGAGTTTAGATCCTTTAGCACAGTGCCTGATCAATAGTAAAGACAAAAAAAAAAAAGGTAGCTATTGTCATTATTAATATTATTCCCCGTCAAACCAGCATTTCTACAACTGTTAACAGGAGGTTGTTCTGAAAATATATTTGCTACTAATTTCATAACTTCCCTTTCTCAAATTGTTCTATAACAAATTTTCGTTTTTGAATTTTAAGTGAACTGAATTAACTTTGTTTTAATTTGGGATAAATTTAGATAATTTTTCAGTATTCTTGGAGATAACTGGGGATACCTGAGAAATTTTAAAACTTGGGTTGGTACTCACTGAAGTAGGAATACAGCTCCAGTGAGTGAGATCAAAGACATCGTCTTAGCACTTCTGTTTAGCTGTGTACACTGGTCGTGTACTCTGAGATTTGTTAAGGGTTTGAGTTATTGGCTTCAGAATGGAGAGGGGTGATTGCACCCTATCATTCCTTTAACCTCACTTTGAAGGCTGATGTGTTAGCCAGGCAAAGAGGTCAGAGACAGAGCCCTACTTGCAACTTTGTGTACAAAACTTAGCCTCTCTTTGACTCAGTTTCTGCATCTCTAAAATAGGAGTAAGAAAAGTTCCTTCTTTCTCCTATAGGGTAGTTGTGGAAAGTATATAAGCTAATGCCCTAGAAGAGTGCTAGCAGAGAATAAGCACTCAAAAAATGTTAGTTATTAATAGCTTTTTAGGAAGTGAGACTAAAGTGAGGAAAGCACTTTAAAAGATTCTTTAATGATTGGTTTATATTGGAATTGTATACCAGACACAGATAAAAGGCCACAGGAAGCAGGAAGAAAGACACATTTACATTTTATTTATATTCCCTATCGTTCATATTGAGAAGCCCTTGTGGCGAAGTGGTTAAGTGCTCAGCTGCTAATCCAAAGGTTGGCAGTTCGAAACCACCAGCCACTCCACGAGAGAAAGATGGGCAATGAGTAAGGAAGACCGAAGAATTGACACGTTTAAATTATGGTGTTGGTGAAGAGTATTGAATAAATATAGAAGAATGAACAAATCTGTCTTGGAAGAAGTACAACCAGAATGCTCCTTGGAAGCAAGGATGGCGAGACTACGTCTCACATACTTTGGACATGTTATCAGGAGGGATCAGTCTCTGGAGAAGGACATCATGCTTGGTAAAGTAGAGAGTCAGAGAAAAAGAGGAAGACCCTCAATGAGATGGATTGACACAGTGGCTGCGACAGTGGGCTCAAGCATAACAATTGTGAGGATGGCGCAGGACTGGGCAGTGTTTCGTTCTGTTGTACATAGGGTCGCTGAGTCAGAACCTACTCGACAGCACCTAACAACAATAACTGAGAAAATTTAAATAGTAAGGAGTAAGATTTTGTTGAGTAGGATGGACCTTTGGGGGGGGTCCACAAACTATTGTAATAGCTAAGGCATATTTGTCCCCCAGGAATCAATTTTCTCCCCTTTGAGGGCTATATCACTCCTGTTGAGAATGCATGCTCTAGTAATATACTTGCAAAGATTGTTTCATTATTTAAACAAAAAGTTTTTGTAATCACTCATATTAAAGCTGATGCTATGTGGTGACTTTACAAACTAATTCACTCATTTGTAATTAAGGCCTCTCTCTTCCTAACAGATGAGAAGGGATTTACAGCATTGGGACAGTGCTTTACAATTGGCAAAGCGTTTGGCTCCAGACCAAATACCATTTATATCAAAAGAATATGCCGTTCAGCTCGAATTCACGTAAGTCCTCATCTTTACACGTTTCAGTCAGCAGCTAAGTGCTGCATATCTTCATTTCTAAACTGCCATTAATTACAATGCCCTTTGTTCAGCTGCTAACCGAAAGGTCGGCTCTTCGACCTTGTGGGAGAAAGATAAGGCAGTCTGCTTCTGTAAAGATTATAGCCTTGGAAACCCTATGGGGAAGTTCTACTCTGCTCTGTGGGGTCACTATGAGTCGGAATTGACTTGACGGCAGTGGGTTTGGTTTGGTTTGTTGATTTAATAATAGCTTTTCA